AGAGAGAGAGAGAGAGAGAGAGAGAGAGAGAGAGAGAGAGAGAGAGAGAGAGAGAGAGAGAGAGAGAGAGAGAGAGAAAAGGAGAAGGAGGAGGAGCTGGAGATGGGGAACCTCACCGTCAGGCCTGGGTATTGCATAAAGTTGCCCACCTGGTATGGAGGGCAAACCGGGTAAAACAGGGTGCCGGCCCAGGCCCCAACGGCGCAGTCCAGATTGCAAATTTGCACAATGGCCTGACAGGGGCGAAACACACAGAATTAGGCCCAAAAGGGCATTCCGCTCTACCTAGATCTTTTAGGGGCATTTTGGGATATATCTCAACTTGTAGAGGTATTTCAAAAAACATTTGCCCACCCTCAGCCTGAGCTGGCAGGACGTTCAGGCTGAGTGATCACCACTTGGCCAGAGGGCGCAGGCTCCCTGAAAGAGGAAGGAGCCGGAAGAAAATAAACTCGGTATGCGCAGACCGAGGTCCCACTGGCTCAGAGTCCTCGTTTCTGACCCTAGATAACGACGATCGACGGCCAGACCTGGACTGAATGCTCCTGACCCCATTTCAGGATTTCCTCGTACACCTATATACCCCATTTGTCCTTTGGGCGGGAAATGGAAATAATGAAGATCTCTACAGCGCTGCAGCACAGGTGCACTCCCAACAGTCCCAGTAAAAAAACCAAAAATACAAAAAAAGGACAGTCCCAGTATGAACGGACGTGGCGGCACTCTTTGCCGCGCCTACCCACCTACCTACCGCACGGGGCCTGGTCCCACTTACATGACAAGGAAAGGGTTCTTATCATCGTGTCGTTGATCTTCATAATCTACGGTCCGAATTGGAAGATCCCTGTAATTGGGACATACGGCCTACGATAGCCCCCGCGAGGCGCGGGCCGCCGCGGTAGCCTTCTACCTTAGCTTACCAGAGGCCATACTTCTTGTATACGACCGCTTTCCCCACCATGTATGGATGCACCTGACCGGAATTACGTCCAAAGCGAAGTTGGAACAGTCCCAGCCAGTGTTGAGTATGCCCCCGCCTTTCCCAGGGAACTGGAAGGCGGTGCGGCGCCCTTTTCTGTTGGTCTTTTCGCTTGAACTTCGGCGCTTGTCGTGTGCTCCTCTGAGTTGTTCTCTGGCCGGGCGTGCCGTATCGCATCGGATCGTGACGTGCAGCTTTCTCCTCTGGCATCACATATTGTATTGCGACATCGCTGCTGCGTTTATCACACTGCTTCTACTGCCGATTCCCAAATTTGTCAGAAAACGCATATACTGTTCCTTCCTGCTCCTTCCCGCTCCTTCCTGCTCCTTGCTCTCACATCGTCGCCAAGATTCGTCTTCAACAGCCATAGCGATCAAGGGGGCGCAGCTGTGCGTGGTGCAAAGTTGCAAACGGCTGTTTTTTTTTTTTTTTTTTTTTTTTTAATT